TAGGGAAACATGTACTTTCTGTATAAACAGCTTCTGTATGGTTCCTATGTAGTGACAGTAATAGTATTTGTGCTTATGATGCCTTCAAAGTGCTTGGCAAACAATAAGCCTTTCTGAGAAGCAACTAAGTACTGTTAGCCTCACATTACTGACACCAAAACCAAAGTTCGGAGATATTTTATGGTATTTGTGAATGCTGAATGAGAACTGATTAATTTAAATCAATGGGAGTTAAAGGATTTTGCCTTCTAAAAGAAGCTTTTTTGGCTTAAAACATTTATCCAAGTTCATAGATACTACTGGAGGTACTTGTCTTGGTTTTTCATTCCTTGGTGTCAAGAAATAATTCTGGATATGTGGAGTGGTTACCAAGTACGCTTAAGTACATTTCTGAGTATCTATCTGATAGATAAGCCATCTTTCGTACTCTACCTACCAACTATGTCTATCGTGGTATGTTTCTCATTTCTTCCTAGTAAAAAAGCACAGATGCTCTTAAGAATTTTTTAGATTACGTTATGTGCGATAGCACTCTCCAAACTAAACCTAAGCAATAACCAATAAAGAATGAACAGAATAAGCTGAAATCACACTTGTTATAACTGTATTAAAATGAGACAGGTATAAAAGGATGTCTTTGAACAATATGTTTTAGATGGTGCTAAATACTAGAGCTGATTGGAAACTTTGAAGGGTTTTTTTCTCAAATTAAAAATATTTTTCACTACATTTCCATGAAGTGATTTCTATTCTCATTGACATTTTTAGCGAGTTCCAAGAATGAAAAAAGAGAAGTTTACTGCAGAACATGGCTATAAGTGCTAGATCCAATTAAAGGATTAAGCATCTAAATTAGGTCTAGGTCTGAACTTCAGTGCATAAATCCATAAGTGTTATAGAAGTGTGTATCTGGTGCAATACATCTTGTACTCTTTAGTGTTGAGTGACACACTTCTGGTTTTATGTGACTGCTCAGTGCATTGGTAGTTCAAAGTCCCCTTTAGCATCCCTTCTACAGGAACTTTACTGGCTTAGTCTAAATTCCAGTCTTTGGAGCAAGTACCTAGATCACTTACAGGATCTAACTCTAAAAATTTCAATATACACAAGTAATCCAAGACACTAATAATGAAGTATCTCTTCCCACTTTAGTTAGTGATCTGATTCCATTTTAGCAATCAAGCAGTACTGACACGTATCTTACGTTAGTTAAAAAACAATTGCTCAAGGAACATTGTTTTAACATGGGCAGATCAAGCAGCTGCAATTTTTTGCTTAGTTGTGCTAGCAATGTAAATTGTAATTTTGCATTTAAGAGAACTTCAGGAAGGAGATTATATTTATTCAAGAGAATGCAGGATCCCATTTCTGACTGAACTCACTTGCCAATACAAGTGTGTTTCCTCCGTTTTCCTGACCTGCAAATGGGATACTTATAAGTGTGAAGTGTCTTCATGTTGGGTGATAAGTAAGTACAGCACATATGGAGACACTGTATTTTTTCCCCAAATTCTTCTAGTTGTTATTCCAGTTCTTTATTCCAGATTCTTTTGAGTTTGAAAGATATTACTAGAGTATTTGGTCCACTGCTGTTAGGGTAAGTAATCCCCCTCAAAGGGATAGAGCTTTCCAAAGAACTGGAAGCTGTGGCTATTGTGTACATCTGTAACTCTACTGATCTCCATTACTGACGTATGACATGAATCAGGCCTTTTGTTTGCAAAAATTAGACCAGGGAGCAAAAAAACGTGGATTTTAAGCATTTTCAACATATGCCTCTATTTCTTATTCTTAACATATTTCACTTCTTTTTTAGGGAGTAAATCTTTATACAGTGATGGAAGCTGGAAACTTCATCTGTACAGCTTTGAACAAGAAAACAAACTCAAAAGTTGCACAAGCTTCCTTCAGTACTGGAGCTATCAATTAAATGGATTTTTTTTTTGCAGCTTAGTTACATTTGTCGTCTACCTTGACCAAGGACATTTATATCAAGAAAACAAATATAAGAAAACCATTTCAGCAAAGAACCAAAATAGAACCCATATATAACTTTTTATTATGGGAAGAGTTGCTGTACTGTACTGTTTTGTCAAGAATTGTCTGATTTGTGAGTAAGAAATAAATTGCTGTAGTACAGAACCCTGTGCTTGGTACTTCTACAGATGAGAAAAATGTATAAACACCAGGACATTTTACCATGTTTTAAATTGAATTTTACTTATTTTCAGGAAAACGGAATAGAAGCAGTGAATACATAGTTAATTTTTAATCAAGATGACTTTTAGAACAGTACAGATATTTGCAGTAGTTTATGAGATCCCACACTGTGTGTGGCCATTCTATTATGTGTTTTATTTATCTGAATCTTTACTTTCCATTTCTCAAGTCAGTTGTGTTATGACTATGGAGCCAAATTTGACTTCACCATAAGAATTTTTTAGCAATAGCACTTTTTTATTTTTGTTTTGTTTAACATCTGTTAAGTATATGGATGGCTTTATCTTTTTCCAAGACTTTGTGGTGAATGGCAGTTTCCCAGATTCTCCAAATCTAATGCAAATTCTCTTATTTGTTACATATGTTAAATTTGTTGTAGTTGCTTTTCTTCATCATCTGTATTAGATGAGGCAATTAAACATTGGCAAGGTTCTCAACCATCCTACAGGGTAGTAGTAGTGTAGAAGGGGCTAAATTTTTGTCAAAGGTCTCGTAGAACAGTCAGATTATTTATTCTATAGTCTATGAATTGACATTCTCACTTATAAATCACGAATTTTTGAGGATAATAATATTCTCCTGGACTACCTTACACAGAGGGAACCACTTACAATTTTTCTTTGTGCTCTACTGACAGTGATACTGTACTTTTCAGTGTCTTAGTTCAACAAGATGCCAGTGAACTGCATTGCCATTTTTTAGACCAATAATGGACAAATTAAAAGAAGAGTCTTATCCTATCTATAAACTGTTCAAATGTGCCATGAAAATACTGTCTTTTTTTCAGTCTGAAACATTAGCCTTATTATTAGTTGTTTGTGTAATATCCTTATGTAATTCACTGTGTACTTAACCTCATTTTTTTTCTGAAAAGAGCCTGTTACCATGAAAGTCTGAAACCCTGGATTATGATCTTTTTCCATATTCTCCATTTTCCTCCAAAATATGAAAAGTTTGGAAAAGGTAAGATGAAAGAAAGTGAAAGATAACGTGTAAAGAAGGAAAAGGCTGAATCAATTTTGTCTGGAACTCAACTCTGCCAAGTTACAGCTGAGTCTCAGCTTGCCTTTGAAATTCCAGAATGAACCTTTTCTGGGATCTTTTAGTTATACTATAGTTTAAAATTGGCACAGCTTAAGAATGTCAAACTTGCAGGCCAGGTAACTCAAAACTAGAAACTTGATATAAAACCTCTATCCTCTTTATGCTGTAATGATAGTCAAAACCAATATAAACTACATTGTTTCACTCTTCTCATGGTAAGAGTCAATTATTAAAGAGTATTAAAGAATAAACAAAGAAACGTGTTTAGGTGAGGCAGGAAATATCTTGCCTATCAATACAAAATACTAAATTGCACCCCTTCCTGCGATATCTAGTGAGAAGACTTTCAGGTACTCTTAAAGACGTGAATAATCTGATTTTCTTGGCCTGAATGGGTAGTTGGGATCACCACAGAAAATGCTCTGTCCTCATTTTCCCATGTTTCAGATAGGGCTTTGTTATTTAGCAGCCACTATGGCTCATATATCAAAACATGAACTTTAATAAAACCTAGTCTTGAACCATTCACAGATGTAAAAATTCTTAAATGGATTAGATCCAATGAAGAAGTGAGGAATCTGCAGCAGTACTTAGGTTGTACTTAGTTTAGTAATTAGTAGTTAAACCTAAATGAGGTGCCAGAATTGACATCCTAAGAACTCCCTAATTCAGATGCCATTTACCCCTGAACATTACTAAGTACACTGTAATACTTTCCTGTTTAACGATAAAATTTCTCTTTAGTTTGCTTCTGTGCAGGCACAGGATTAGCTTATTCTGAGTTGAAGTGTGCATTTCTCATGTAGAGCCTGATGAGTGTTCTTCCGTCCAAGAGCCTGTAAGCGTGTTTAACTGACATGAGCAAGATTGAGCTTCTTCCAGAAACCCTTGAAAAAAAGGAGTTGTGATGCAAACCACCTTTTAAATCCTAGCCTGAATGTTGCACTAAACTCAGTCTGAGGAGATTCAAACACACATTTTTTGATATCCTAATCAATGAGTCTAACCACTAGGTTATATACAGAACTGAAAAAGAACATGCTTTCTAGTAAACGTGGATGAAGTTGTGCCACTGGGTAGGATGGAATTCAAAACTCCTGAGACCAGAAATATCACAAGAAAAAAATGTCTCTGCAACAGATAAGGGTATTTCTCCTTGAAGATGGTGGTGAGGGCTTCAACTGTGGGCCAAGTTAGGAACTAAACTGATGCTGTCCACTTTTTTGGTAAGTATACTAACTACAACATCTTGGCTAAAAGTGGATGGTTTCACTACTACCACAACTTTTGTGTTAAATATCATAACTATGTAAAACATAGACTATAGAATAAAACAGCTAGCTCTGATCAGTACTTTGGGAGTTCTAGACATCTGTGTTCCTAACTACCATGAAGCATTGCTAACTTTGGCACTAGGAGACCCGTATACTCTGGAGGAGTTTTCAGATATGCCTCTATGCATCATCCATCCTAGGCTTTTCAGCATCTGGGCTGTCCAGTTTGCATTTCTGAAGCTCTTAACCATCCCTATGCACTGAAACAGGGTACCTAATAAACCTAATGTTCATCATGGGGATGAACAACCTAAAATGCCTCAGTTCTTTATTTGGTCTGTTTCAGAAACTACATGTGAGCTTGTGTAGAGCCTTAAGTGCAGGTCTGTTATTCTGTGATGATGTGAGCATTGGAAATGATGAGCAGTCACATCTGGAGCCTGTGCTTTACCCACACATTCAGCTTCAATCACATAGTGAGTTATAGTAATCCAGGGTGGAGGTCACAGACAAGTAGATTGTTTGTCAGGATTGTTACAAGGGAGGGAGAAACATATAGCCATATTTTTAAAAAAAGCCCCAATGTTTATGTGCCAAAAGTGCCACCTGAGATGAATTTAGGCCTGTGGGTCCAGGTGAGCAATCCCAACAAGATCCTTCTTTACTTGTAGTGTGACTGAAAATCGTGAGACATCTCATGTTCTTGCTACTAAAATTTGTTAGGCACATAAAATGTTGCTTTTCTGCTTTCCTGGGCTGGCATTATTTCGACTGTGGAGCATTTTAACATCTAATCTTTGGCTTCACAAAATAAGCATATTTTGCCCTTAAGATCAAGGGCTAATCCAGTAGCTATGCCATGAGCATGCATCACTCACGCAGGCAGCTTTGAGTTCAGCACATAATAAAACAGTTGAGACAACATCCTGTCAAAAACATGGTGTCCTGGTTTCGAGAGCTGTAAGTCATGGGATGCTCTCCAGTGCTTCTGACTTTCTAAATTTTTGTGCTTATATTCAGAGTGACCTGTCACTAATGGTGGCTGCCCTTTTAGACTCTATCGGTGTCCCCTGCTGAGTACTGTCACTTCACCCTGAAGTAACCCTCTGGCAGTGGAAGGCTTGCATCCAGGTGTTTGGCTTCCATGAGAAGGTGTCCCTATTACTATCTCATTATAAAATGTGCATATATTTATATTTGTTGAAAGGTATCCAGAAAAAAAAGCAGAGTGCTGAATATCATGATCACATTGTTGGAATGTGGGGGCATGCTGTTTCCCTGTCTGTTTTGCCGATAGTCCTCTGTAATGCTGAAAAGGGGATAGCATAAACTCTGAGAGTATGTGGGAGAGAAGGAGTTATTGATTGCACTCTCCTGGTCTTGTCAGAGACAAATTAGATGTACCAAGATATTTACTTCTATGTTTTGGAGACTTTCTTCTATAGCTCACTGTATCAAAGTTGCTGCCGATATCTCACAGAACAACATGGAAATCATCTTACTTGTGCCAGGGCCATGGAGTATGTAAACTGGAGTTCCCAGTTCAGTCTGTGGTCTGTGCCCTGATCTGAACCTGTGAAGGTTCAACAGCTGACCAATGTCAACACATTGGAATTTTCTTTAATACTTTCACAGTAGTTTTTCTTTTCCTCACGTTGTTGGCAATATCTAGAGAGTCAAATACTGGCTACTTTGGCTGGTCAAGATATTATGGTGTCCTAAAGGCATGGCTGGTGTGCTTTTTTGGAGGAGAAGTTGACCAGTTCCTCTAGTGATGGGCATAATTGTTCTTCAGTGCCTTTCACAAGACAGTGATGACATGGATCCTGTAGATGGATAGTGCTAATGTCTTCCAGCAGCAGCTTGCTTTGTAGTTTAAACCTTTAAGTATTAAGGCAACTTGGCTCTGAACCAGCACTTTAATGTTTCATTTTCATGTATAACCAGAGTTTATGGAAATAAGAAGTGAATATTCTGGTCTTCTAAATAAGTCCAGAGAGGCTTTGGCTAATTTTCCTTTCTTAATGGCATCATTTGAGTTCATAAAACTTTTATTATTGTAATAAGGAGTCACAAAAAGAAGACTGCAAGTCTTTGAGGTAAAATTCCTATGTTTGGGATCAGTGTTGCTGAAATGAAGAAATACTTGTCCAAAGAGTTTGTGTGAAAGTGTAAGATCTGCCAATTTTTTCACAGAGTTATTTTTAAGGGGTAGAAATATTGTTTAGATACTGTGATACCTGAAAATGAGTATTCTGTGCCACTGATATTTTCTGTGATTTCTCAGACTGCCTTAAGTTATCCATATTGGTTGTGAAGTCTCTAAAGAACTGACAGAAGAATCACTCCGGAGAAGTGAATGAGACACTTGCTTTTCAGTTCTTGATGTGCTGATCGATGCTTTTGTTATATTTTATTTTTGAAGATTATTTTTCTCTACGGTCCTGCTGTAACGCAGTGTTGACCTTCATTGCTGCAATAACACAGCAGGCAGAAGGACTACAGCCAAAGTCAACTTAGTCCTTTGAAACCAATGTCAAAGAGATGATATGTTTGTTAAGGAATTATCATGTACCCTCTTGGTTAAATGCATTTGTGATTTTGCAATATGTGGTGTTAAAGCTGAAATAAAAATCTATCCCAGTGTTTACGGAAACTGATATGCTCATGTATTACGCCAGATTCAGCAGCTCTGACTAACCAGCTCACATGTTAGTAAATATAAGCTGTCACTCTGACATGTAAGCCTGTGTTGACTTTGTTACCTCGTAATCCATTTGGAGCGCATTTTCTTTGGATTATCATTTTATCAGTTTTCCTGTGTGCTTTTGTAGCTGACAAATCTCTTCTTAGTTACTAGGGAAACATTTCTTCTCTCCATTAACTAAACATTAAAAGCTGCAGCCAGGAATGGAGGTAGGAGTCAAAAAATTAAATGAGGCGTTATCTAACTTCAGATGTTCCACTGCACAGTAGAAATCTCTGTGCTCTAAGTGATGCC